ATTAGGGCCGGGCGCGGTGGCTCAAGCTTGTAATCCCAGCACTTTGGGAGGCCGAGGCAGGTGGATCACGAGGTCAAGAGATCGAGACCATCCTGGCCAACATGGTGAAACCCCGTCTCTACTAAAAATACAAAAAATTAGCTGGGCATGGTGGTGCGTGCCTGTAATCCCAGCTACTCAGGAGGCTGAGGCAGGAGAATTGCCTGAACCCAGGAGGCGGAGGTTGCGGTGAGCCGAGGTCGCGCCATTGCACTCCAGCCTGGGTAACAAGAGCGAAACTCCATCTCAAAAAAAAAAAAAAAAAAAAAAAAAAAAGCATTATTAGGGATAATAATGGCTACCTGATAATAACAAAAAGTTCAGTTCATCAGGAATAGATATAATGCTAAGCCTGTATGCATTTAATAGCCTAGACTCAAAGTACTTAAAACAAAGCCTGACAGAATTATAGGCAAAGTGGGTAAGTCCACTATCACAGAGATTTAACAGCTCTCTCAATAACTTGTAGATGACTCAGTTAAAAAAACAAATTAGGCTGGGTGCCATCACTCATGCCTGTAATCCCAGCACTTTGGGAGGCCGAGGCAGGCAGATAATGAGGTTAGGAGTTGGAGACCAGCCTGGCCAACAAAATGAAACTCTGTCTCCACTAAAGATGCAAAAAAGTAGCCAGGCGTGGTGGTGAGGGCCTGTAGTCCCAGCTACTAGAGAGGCTGAGGCAGAAGAATTGCCTGAACCCAGGAGGCAGAGGATGTGGTAAGCTGAGTTCGCGCCACTGCACTCCAGCCTGGGTGACAGAGCAAGACTCCATCTCAAAAAAAAAAAAATGTCCTAAAGATTCCAAGTAGTTCAGAGAAGTATTAATGGAAAAGGAAACAGAAAGAATAAAAATATCTCAAGCTATCATGGGACAGAAAGAAATATGTCATTATTTTTTATTTAATATAGGTAATATCTGTTTCATTAGTTCTATTGTATACATTATTATTATTATTGTTATTATTATTTTTTGAGACGGATCTCACTCTGTCACCCAGGCTGGAGTGCAATGGCACGATCTTGGCTCATTGCAACCTCCACCTCCTGAGTTCAAGTGATTCTTTTGCCTCAGCCACCCAAGTAGCTGGGATTACAGGCGCGTGCAACCATGCCTGACTAATTTTTTTTTTTGGTAGAGATGGGGTTTCACTCTGTTAGTCAGAATGGTCTCGATCTCCTGACTTCGTGATCCACCCGCCTCAGACTCCCAAAGTGCTGGGATTATAGGCGTGAGCCACTGTGCCTGGCCATTGTATACATTCTTTTAAAATTCTTAAACTTACTTATCTCAAGAATTTAGGATGATATAGCCTACAAAATTCAAATATGCAATAGAGCTAAATTGCTATACTAGAAGACAGAAAGAAATCTTAAGAAAATATTGTTGTATTTTTCTCACACATATTATTTGCTTAATTAGTCCTTCTATTTATTATTACTATTTGCCATTTCTAACTAGCTCTATTGCTTTTTTTTTTTTTTTTTTTTAAGAGATAACATCTTGCTCTGTCACTCAGGTTGAAGTGCAGTGATGTGCTCAAACTCCTGGTCTCAAGTGATCCTCCCACTTCAGCCTCATGAATACCTGGGACTGCAGGTGTGACTCACCATGCCTGACTAATTTTTTTGTGTGTGTAGAGATGGGATCTTGCTATGTTGTCCAGGCTGGTCTGGAACTCCTAAGCTCAAGTGATCCTCCCACCTCAGCCTCCCAAAAGTGCTGGGATTACAGGCCTGAGCCACTGTTCCCAGCCTGCTATTTAATTGCACTTATGCCACAGAAAAGAAATACAACAGAATGCATAATTGTAAGTAAATACCTATTTTTCATGTTTTTATGTTCAAGTAATTTGTATGTTAGATTGGCAAAAATTTAAAAAGTCCGGCCGGGCGCGGTGGCTCAAGCCTGTAATCCCAGCACTTTGGGAGGCTGAGGCGGGTGGATCACGAGGTCAAGAGATCGAGACCATCCTGGTGAACATGGTGAAACCGCGTCTCTACTAAAAATACAAAAAATTAGCTGGGCATGGTGGCGTGTGCCTGTAATCCCAGCTACTCAGGAGGCTGAGGCAGGAGAATTGCCTGAACCCAGGAAGCAGAGGTTGCGGTGAGCCAAGATCGCGCCATTGCACTCCAGCCTGGGTAACAAGAGCGAAACTCCATCTCAGAAAAAAAAAAAAAAAAAAAAGTCCAACATTTCCAGTTGTTACCAAATAAAGAGTATCTTTTATACTGTTTATGGAGTCAAGTTGGTACATCGTCTAATCCAGCAATGTCTAGCATATTAGTTTTCTATTGCATAACAAATTATCATAAACATAGTATCTTAAGACACATTTATTATCTCACAGTTTCTGTGGACCAGTAGTCCAGGCACAGTTTAGCTGTTTCCTTTGCTCAGGGTCTCACAAAACTGCTATCAAGGTATAAGTCAGGCTGTCTTCTCATCTGGAGACTGACCTTTCTCAGGTTGTCGGCAGAATTCATTTCCTTGTAGTTGTATGAGTGAGGGCCCTGGCTTCTTACTGATTGTCAGCTGGAGGCTGCACTCAAGTTCTAGAAGCAATCTGCAGTTCACTGCCACGTGGTCTCCTCCGTATGCGGTTCACACAACTTGACAGCTTGCTTCTTCAAGGCCAGCAGGCAAATCTCTAGCTCCGGTCTGGAAAGACAGTCTCATATAATGAAACAGAATCATGGGAGTGACATCCTATAATCTTTGCCGTATTCTGTTGGCTAGAAGTAAGTCAAATGTCCCACCTACACTCAAAGGGTAGAGATTATATAGGCAACAACAGGGAGCAGAGATTATGGGGGCCATCTTAGATTTCTGCTTAATACATCTACTGATGTTAAAGATGCAATGTTTTAGGATCTAGCAGTTTCCCTGTACACAGTAGAGATGTTCAAGAATGTTCATAGCAGCATTGTGATAGCAAAAATATTGTTCTATAATTTTAAATTTCTCAAAATATAAAATTATATTGTCAGAGAGACATTAGCTTATAAAACACCATATATGGTATGATAACATCTTTTTAAAGTAGCATATATAGGAATTCTACTTCCAGCAATGGCCTACTGGTATTTTGAATCAACCCTTCCACTGCAGAGAACAACTGAACAAAATATAAAAACATTAATGTACTGAAGAGCTACCAAGGAAGTGAGAATTTGTGAATGCAAGATCTGGAAGAAAAAGGAAGCCACAAGAGGTGAGCCTGATATTTGTCATCATTTTTCCAAAGCTGAGGTGACTGCTGACGCTGAAAGTAGTGGCTGAAAAAGTGAACAGAGCTTATGGCTGTCTCATGAGGCTTAGGAGTCCCACAAAAGAGATGAGGCCCTAATAAATACCCCAGACTATTGGATGGGACCATCAGGGACTAGCTAGAAATAAGGATAAACTGGAAATAAATTAGCTTTCACAAAGACTGAAGTACTGCTCTCAATAATCAATCTTAGCACCTGATTGGAAAAAGGTCTTCACCCTAGCTGTGGTCAGGCAAACTTGCCCTTAAGTCTCTCCTGGTGAACACACCTTCCCTTTCCCCAGTCCCCTTGCTCAAATTCAACTCTGATCTTAGTAAACACATCAGCAGGAGAATGCTGATGCAGCAGAGAAAAGTCCAGGACAAATGAACATTGCATAACCTAGGATTCAGGTTGTGTGGTCCTCTCTCTTCTTCCCTGGGACATTTGTAAATGTATTAATCTACTCCATCTCTTTCTCCTTGCTTCTTGGTGTGTGTTTTAAACCTATCTAATATTCTGTGACCCCTGCTAGGTTGGCTTTAGTTTTTCTTCTTTTGAAGCCACTACTCCATCTGGTCCCCTAAAGAATTCCATCAAATTTAACATTGACAATCATTTGCTCCAAGTTTTTGTTTGAGAGCACTTGAGAGTAAAATGAGTATTTGTGTTGCATGTAGCTTTTTTGTTTGTTAGTTTTGTTTTTTGTTTTTTAACAGAGTTTCGCTCTGTTGCCCAGGCTGGAGTGCAGTGGCTTGATCTTGGCTGACTGCAACCTCCTCCTCCCAGGTTCAAGCAGTTCTCCTGCCTCAGCCTCCCGGGTAGCTTGTCTACAGGTGCGCGCCACCAACCCCAGCTAAATTTTGTATGTTTAGTAGAGACAGGTTTTCACCATGTTGGCCAGGATGGTCTCCACCTCTTGACTTCGTGATCCACCTGCCTCGGCCTTCCAAAGTGCTGGGATTATAGGCGTGAGTCACCGTGCCCAGCCCATGTAGTTTCTTAATTGTTATTATTTTTTGAGACAGGGTCTCACTCCGGTTGTCCAGTGTAGTGGTGCGATCTTGGCTCACTGCAGCCTCATGGTCATCTTGAGTGATTCTCTTACCTCAGCCGCCCAAGTAGCTGAGTACAGGCGCTCGTCATTACCCCTCGCTAATTTTTGTATTTTTAGTAGAGAGGGGATTTCGCCATGTTGCCCAGCCTAGTCTCGAACTCCTGGCCTCAAGTCATCCGCTCGCCTCGGCCTTACAAAGTGCTGGGATTACAGGTGTGAGCCACCTTGCCCAGCCCTTAATGATTTTTGATGCTGCTCATACAGTATCAAGCAAAGGGGTTGGGAGAGAACTAAAAAAGGAGTGTCCAGAAGCTTCCTGCTTTCATGCTGCATGTGAACCCTTCAGGCACGAGGCTCTGCTGTACTACTGTTGTAATATTCTCTCTGCCTTCAATTATTCCATCAACATGTATTAGGTACCTGCTATGTTAGAGGCTAGACATACAGAGGTGAGGATCGATCCGCCCTGGAAGAGCTTAGCAAAGACAGGTTTGTACACATAACTTTCTCCAACCTTTGCCAAGGCCTGCAAACCTCCTTTTCTGTGAGACCCTCTCCCCGATCCCCGACTCTTCGCAGGCTGGGCGATAGCAGCAAGGAGCGTCTGGCGAGAGAGCGTTACAAGACTACGTTTCCCGGCAGCCTCTGCGGCAAGCGCTGGAGAGACGCGCGCAGGCGCTCCGGCCGGCCCCCGCACGCAGGCGCACTGCGAACGCCGGCAGAGCTGAGTCTTGCTTCTCGGTGCGCGGTGGCGGAGAGCGAGGCCTGGTGAGCACCGCCTAGGCGCGAGCCAGCTCTTCGAGGTTGGGCGCGGGAGTGGCACGGCGGGCGGGCCAGCGAGGGGCTCACTTCAGCGGTGGCACCGGGATCGGTTGCCGTGAGCCTGGTGAGTGTAAGGGCCTTGCGGCCCCGGCCCCTCCCCCTGCCGCCGGCGGATCCAGGCAGTCCTCGGCGGGACTTGGGAGAGGCCCTGGGGCGACGGCTGGCGCCGGCCGGGGTTCGTGCTCGGGTGCCTGGGTCCTGACGCTCGCGCCGCGTCCGTGCGTCACGGGCCTGACTGTCTTAACTGCCGCGCGGCCGGCGGAGGAGAGGGTGGGGGTGGGGAGCGCTGGTGTGATCGCCATCAGGAACGCCGGTCGAGGCGGGGCGGGGCGGCGAGGCGCGGCGCGGCGGCGGGGCTGGAAGCGGCGCCGGGGACTGCGGGGCGCCGAGGCAGCGGGCGGAGAGGAGGCGAGCGCGGAGCCTGCGCCGCAACTGGGCGGCTGGAGGGAGGCGGGGGTGGGCCGCGCCGAGCGCTGTGACAGAGGCAGGAAGGAGCAGGGGTGGCGTGTAAAAATTCTAACCCTGGCAGGAAGGGACCGTCTTGGGAATTCACAAGTTACAGCCGGGGTTAGAGCCGGCAGCCCCGAGGGAGGTGGGAGAAACGGGGGATGGAGACGGCCGGCTGCAGTTTACAGATGTCATAACGACATAGGCCTGGAGCGGCTGACGGGGGTGTGGTAATTATAGGAATGACAGAACTCGGTCTGTACACCGCATGTGAAGTGGCGGTGCGAGGGAAACAGCGAGGTATCGGATTAAGCTCATTACGGGAGGAGAATACTGAAGAATGGCTGGAGCCAAGAAGTTGTCATGAAGTAATGTTTTAGGATTGGGTCGTGTTCCACTTTTCAGTGAAAGCGTTTAAAATATTTTATTTTTAAGGTTTCAACTCAGATCAAACGATGGCTGTTTGTATTTTAAAGAGATGGGGTCTCGCTGTGTTACCCACGCTGTACTACAACTCCTGGGCTCAAACTGTCCGGTCTCAGCCTCCTAAGTAGCTGGGACTAGTCTCGGGCAACCACACCCAGCTCTGCAGAGTGTTTTTTTTCTGAAACGTACTGTCAAGTAATGTTAACTTGAATTTCACTTTTTCCCCCTTTAAATAAACGGTTGCTTAAAAGCCTCTCTCTATTAGCAGTAGATGAGGTGATTTTCCCCCTCTTGTTGCTTCAAGCCTCATTTTTTTTTTTTTTTTTAATTTAAAGAAATGGAGTCTTGCTGTGTTGTCCGGGCTGATCTGGCCTCAAGGCATCCGCCCGAGTAAATGGAACTACAGGCGGCTGCCACCAGCAAGGCTCATTCTGGACATTGTTTTTTTCTTAACTAGCTTTTGCGTTTGTAATATTTTGAAAGCAGTTCAGAAATTTTCCCTCCACTTAAAAGAGTTATTTTTCCCCTCCATTTTAAAGATTAATGAGATAAAATTTATTTTTTTAAAGGAACGTAATGAATTCTGTTGTATTTTTCCTGAAATACTTTATTCTTGGAAGGCACTGTTTTATGGATAGATAAGATGTAAGAGAAAGTAAAGGAATTAACATTTATTGAGTTCTTTTTCATGTATTGTGTTAAATGCTTTACACATACTAAAAACATTTAAATCTGAAGTATCTTAATTTTTCTAGTTTACAGATGAAAGCATTGACAATCAAATGTTAAGTTACCTAAAGTCTTTCAGCTCTTGTTGAGAACAGCCTTAGAACTCAAAATTACTGCCGTTTAAAAAAATTATTTCTCTCCTTTCATACTTTTTCGTTGTGCTTTCTTTAATCCATTCAATGAGCGAATACTTACGGAGTGATCCTATTCTAGACTTGGGGGGATATGGTCGCGATCAAAACTCACTGTACTTGTTCTAAATACACTGTGGAATTTATAGTGTAGCAGAGAAGACTAATAACACAAATATTGACTGCATAACATGTTATCAGTTATTATAGTTGAGCAGCAACTGTAGAGTACTCTACTAAATAGAATTCAAATGGAAGCAGACAACATGAGCCTTGAGTTTAAAGTCATGTAGGGAAACAAAACATATGTTTATAAAAACCTAAACTAAATGACAAAGGCATCACCTGAAATCAATATACTTGCATTATGTTGCTTTTTTTTTTTTTTTTCCGTCGGAGACAGTCTTCCTCTGTTGCCCAAGCTGGAGTGCGCTGGCGCGATCTCTCTTCACTGTAACCTACGCCTCCCGGGTTCATGCAATTTTCCTGCTTCAGCCTCCGGAGTAGCTGGACTACGGGCGCACGCCGGCACGTCTGGCTATTTTTTTGTATTTTAGTAGAGACGGGGTTTCACCGTGTTGCCCAGGCTAGTCTGGAACTCCGGAGCTCAGGCAATCCAGATGCCTCGGCCTCCCAGAGTGTTAGGATTACAGGCGTGAGCCACTGCGCCCGGCAGAATTATGTTACTTCATAAGGTGGTCCTCGTAGAAGTTTCTTCACAGAAGTGTGATTTAATCTTACCTGCATCTTATCTAGAACTGATATGTACCAGAAGGGGCCATGAAAGACATCTTTTTTCCCATTAATATCTAATGAAGAAATTTCTAATTTATTGGTACCTATAAAATACAGACCGTAGCGACAAATTCTTCCTAAGACCCCAGTATTAAGCTTTTTTTCTTTTCTTTTTTTAAACAAGTGACTGCTTTTATTAGGTTATTTTTGTTTTGTCAGTCATCCTGTTTCCCTTTATACTTTGTCAGGAGACTCAGAGCTGTGTTCAATTTTTATAATTTTCTTTAGTCTCAACTATGTTAAGAATTATATGTAATCTGGAATTGCTGTCAGTTGTTTCCTGGATTTTTTTATTCTCTGTTGCTCTCGATGGTCCTTTTTTACCTTTTCCCTTTACATTTGAGAATAAGATTATATCTTAATTCTTTTCATCCCCAGTGCTAAAAAGCAGAGTGTTTGTTGAATTAATGATAAAATAGAGTCTTAATGATTTATGATGTCTGTGCTTTGAAGTCTGCCAGATTGTTTTTACATGTATGAATACTGTGTATAAAATCAATTAAGGCCTTTGATTGGTCTTGATAGTAAAGATTACTGACCTAGTGATAAAGATAATCCCGTTACCTCCTTGTTTTGTTTTAAGGTATCTTTGCACTTTGCATGATGTTATGAATTTAGCCATAAAAGGGAAGAAAACATTGGTAAACAGTTAAATTAGCTGATTTAGGCTGATTTCACTCTTTTGCTGCAGTAAGCAGGAGATGGCCTCAGGCCAACTGGGGGCCAGATAGGGCCTGCAATAGAAAATTTTGAAGTTGTACATTGGGAGAGTAGGGATGAAGACTATGGGAATGTACCTTTTCTTCTTCTTCTTCTTCTTCTTCTTCTTCTTCTTCTTCTTCTTCTTCTTTTTCTTTTTCTTTTTCTTTCTTCTCTTTTTTTTTGAAGATGTTACAGACCTACAAAACAGAACATGAAAAAATGATTCTGTCCAAGTACTGTAGACTAATTGGGACAGTTCTTGAAAGCAGGCAGTAATCCAGAATGTGGATAATGGGGATAATCTCCTTCATATAACAAAAATAATGCTGCCCTTCATATACAAAGATAAGTCTGCTTACTCATCATGATTGATTTTCCAGCGTGAGGAAGGATATGTGCTGAGTTGTCCATGAGTCTCTGTATGAGCAACAAAGCAGCTTGGGGTCAGAATAGGGGTTTGTAGCGAGGGAACGGAAAGACTGGCAGAAAGTGTTGATGGGTTAGGCTCTGCATTAGGTGCTTTCACTTAATTGTTCTTGCAAAACCATTTTGAGGAGTTGATTACGTGTGCAGGTTGATTGGGTAACTTGCCCTACTTCACAGAATTAGTGGAGTTGGGATTCAAATAGGGCTGTTTGTACTGTGTTCACATTGATCATTAAAGATTGGTTTTATTAGCTGTTTAGTTGACGGAACAAACTAGATGTAGTTTGTTTAATGCCATGAAGTAATACTGAAGATCTGATTTAACCGCTGTGAGATTTTGTTCAGGTTCCTTGTTTTATCAGCATTAGAAAAATACTAATTCTATTTTAAAATTAGAATATCTGAAAAGCTATTCTAAAACTGTTTTCTGTCTCAGCATCTGCACTTTAGAAGCTACCATTTTCTTTCTCCTAGCTGTTTCCTCTTGTGTTTGCTTTCATATTTATAAATGCAGTAACTTGCTTTTATTGCTGTTTCTTGATATAACAATTATAGATATTACTGGCTTTCTTCTAGGCAAGATGTTCCTTACTGCTTCACATATAGACTCACCTCCACACGCACAAACTGCCTCTACCATCCTCTACAGTTATAGTTACCACAGGCGTTTATTAAGCCAATATTTAGTGTTTACAGTATTATAACTGTGTAAGTGTTCACAGCTGACCCATGTAGAGTACTATGATGTCATTTCTTTTAATACATTTTTGATTTTTTAGAAAGTATTTTTTGTTGTTGTTTGCTTCATTTCCTGAGACAGCCAACCTGGATCCTCTTAATGCAATTAGGACTGGTTACTTTCTAGGCCTATTTCATAGTTGTTATCCTGGGTCTTCTCTTTTTATCATCCGTAAAATTCTTTATCCTCTCCTGTACTGGTTCCCCTGTTTGCTGTTTCCTGTATTTTCTTTCTTGGCTTACTTATTTCCTTGGGAATACATTTTTTAGTAGCTTTCTAAGAAAGGATACATAGAAAACAAAAACTTTCTGTCATCTTACCTGACTTGAAAAAAAAAAAAATTCTTCCTTCACATTTGATCAATAATTTGGCTGGGTATAAAATTCTGAGTTGAAAGTAACTTTTACTTCAAGTTTGCAAGTCATAGTTTCATTGTTTTCTTTCTTCCAGTGTTACTGTTGTAATCTAAAGCCAGTCTGATTTTTCATTTGTATGTGACCTTCCCTTTCTGACCCCCAATCTCTAGAAGCTTTTAGGATATTTTTAACCCTCAGAATTCCATGATGATATGTCTAGGTATGGGTCTAGGTATGGGTCTTTTTTTGTTTAAGAGCATTCCATGGGCCTTTATAAGCTGGGAGTTCATGTCCTTTAGTTTTGGGAAGTTTT